ATAAGATATATTTATTGTTTTGCCATATGGATCATACGTATCATAGCATGCGTGTGGTGTTATTGCGTTTTTCAAATTACTGTGATCAGCAAGTTCCACGTATCACAAGGAATTTCGCACCGGGAATCAGAAATCTAAATCAATGCGCTTTTTGAGTTACTGTGATCAGCAAGTTTCAGAAATCTAAAATAAATGCGAATACATGATTGGCTAAAAATTATTTCCAACCAATAACAGATTTGCAATAAAATAATGCACATTTATACTCGCAGGCATTTGTTTGAGCCACCTACAGTACGTAGTACAGACAATCTAGTCCCGACAAATAAACTTGACTAATTTCAAAATGTTAATCCTTGTTCACAAAAAACAATAAACAAAAAAACTTTTCATAAAACATTAAAACCATTCAAGCTATAAACGTCTTGGTCTTGAATTTTTTTTTAATTTATTTTTTAATAAAGTAGCAATTTTATCATTAAACAAGCAATTTGGCCGTTTAAAATATACTATTAAACAAGCAAAAAATTTGGTCACTAAATTTGGCCGCTAAAAATTTTCATTTGCACAACTCTTATTCTAAATTTGCAAATGTTTATCTAAAAAATCGCGCATGAGATAAATATCCAAACATAATGCAGATCATATAATAAATACTATATAGTAAGGATTTACATAAACTGCAATAATTCTTGAACTAGCCCATACAAATAAAATTACACTTGTTGGGTTCGTTTTAACATTGCTCTTTAAAGTAGTAGCGCTTTATTTTATTTTTATTGTCTGGAGTGACTCAATTTCTATGCAAAATTCTCGCTTTTGATGCATTTTAATAAAATTATCAAAAGCGTAACTTGAATTTCTGCCTGATGCCATTTAAAGAACACGTTAAAACGAACCCGACAAATAATTTTATTTGTGTAGGGTTGATTGTTTAAGAGTAATTGCCTTACTATATAAATTTACCATATCGGGATATGTTTATGATCATACGTACGACGTACCAATATTGGACTCCCCAATAAGATAAGGTTTATAAATTCAACAGATGATACATTTTTAATACTATATGCTATTTTTTTACAATCTTTTGAAAGATAAACAAAATAATTTTAAGAAACTTCTCGGGAGGGAATGCATTTTTAGAACTATGCACCTCGATATTGGATAAAATGATCATTTATTAAAATACGCCCAACTTCTAATTTCGCAGAAATTTTTTTTTTTTAAAAATGTTCCCAACATTGAGAAAATTCAAAAATTTCGGTTAACAATATTATATGATCACCTTATAATCTTAGAAAGTCGTGTACTTGGGTAAAAATATTTAATGGCATTTTGTGAAACATATTTTGTCAACTAAAAGATGCGTGAAATTAAACTAGTGTTCTAAAATAAGTTGCTCAATGGCTTTATCCAGCCCAGCTTACAAACGAGTGGATTACGTGAGATTAATCAAAACTCCGTCATTCGGAATTCAAATCTCGGAGTTCTAATTAATCGCAGTACATTTTCGTAATCCGGACTAGAGGTGTAGAACATCATTATTGATAAAATTGGTAACAATGTATTTGCGAAATTAATGTCCCACCGCAGTTCTAGATAAACTGCATAAAATGTGTTTTAATATGTCCATTTTGATCTTTTATGGCTAAAGTTTTTTTCTTCTCATGCATATTCTCATTCCGAATATTAAGTCTGTTTTAAATTTCAAAGTAATTTTCAAAATGATATATATTAGGACATAATTTTCCATCTTCAACCGTCTCTTTGCTCTCAAGTCCATTTAATTAAAAATGTATCGTGAATCACCTATAAAATCAGAATCACCCGTAAAAACAAAATATATAGATCTTGCAAAAACCAATCTCAAGTTTGCCAAATGTGCGTTCGAAAAGTTAAAAGATGAAAATTTGCATGCTAGAAAGTTATGCACTAGAGGATTAGAAGTAACAAAAGATAGTCAAAAGTTTTTAGAAGAAATCACGAGATTGATGTTTCCCAACAGTTCTTATCCTGAAGAATGTTTAAATGAAAATGTAAACAATGATAATAAAATTGTCAATTGTAAATTTCAAAAATTCATCGAAGAGTCCATAATTTTTCGAAATTTTGAAAATAAATTATGGGAAATTGATCTTTGTGTCAATTTTAGTAATTATGATGATAATGTTGAGGCAGAGGTAAGCAATACTGTATTTATAATTTTTAATATATGCATTTTTTGTGAATATCATTTATAATTTCTGATAAAAATTATTTAATAAATAGGTCGCTTATAGAATAGATGTGATAAATAGTATGATTAACGAATTAAAAAATTCAATTAAAGACTGGCAAACCCAACAAAAGAGGGACTGGAGAACAATTAGATCTAGAGCCATGGCCTTCGTACGGTTTCTTTCGATTGGAAGACAACTTGCTTGTGAAATTCCTGAAAGTGAGCTTTCAGATGGTGGATTAGTTAGAGGAAGTAATGATCATATAGTTCAACGAAATTATAAAGCTGCAGCAGAGACTAGTGATAATGGTAAAATTTTGATACGTAAAGTTGCAGAAAAGACTACTAATAAAAGTTTAAATGAGTTGAAGAAAGAAATTAATTTTATGCGCGAACTTTGTGAATGTTCCAATATTCTTAAATTGTAAGTTTACATTTATCTAAATTATCTTTTATACATATTGAAATAACGATAAAATTTTCTTTCTTTAAAGCTACGGATACTGTCATCGATCCAATAGTGATTTCTCCGTAATTTCAGAATGGGCTAATTATAATTTGCAAGATTACCTTAATCAACGACGTTGTTTAGATCCGGCTGAAAAACTATCAATTGCCCGCGGAATTGCTAATGCATTAAAATATTGTCATGAAAAGGATATTTTGCACTATGATATTAGACCGTTAGTACATACGTATTATATCATAATGTTAATATGTATATATATTATTAACTAGAATTCTTTTAACTTATAATTAGTTCCAATATATTGCTAAATGAAAATTTGCAACCTAAACTATATAATTTTCGAAGTAATGAGGAATCTACATCGTTACCGATTAGTATTTTAAGGTAATTTATTCTCATTCAGACATACATATGTGTCTTATTCTTTTTTAAACCCTTTTTGTCGTTTTAGGTGGAGTTCACCAGAAAGATTGCGCGGTGAATACGAAAAAGCCAGTGATGTATACAGGTAATTTTTAGGATTAAATATATACAATTAATTCACAATTCACTAAAATAATAACTATTTTTATATTAAAAGTTTCGCACTAGTTATGTGGGCTATTGAGCATCAAAAAACGCCCTTTATTACCTTAACTTCAAAGGAACAAATCAAAAGCCAAATACTTAAAAACAATAAACGCCCAGAACTCACTGCCGTAGACGGTATACCAGTCGAATACAATGAAATTATTAAAAAATCTTGGAATCATGATCCTTCTGTACGTTATGATATGAAGAAAATTTCAGGACTCTTGGATAAACTAGACCTTGAAAAATTCTCTAGCCAGGATGATAATGATTATTTTGATTTTATCAACACAAATATCGATATGAATCAGTCAACGTCGTCTAAATCTGAACAAATAGAACAGGGTATTGAACATCATAAAAATAAGAGATATGAAAATGCATGGAAAATATTTAATGATTACTGTAATCATAAACCTGAAGATCCTTATGCAAATTTTTGGGTGGGCTTTTATTACTTTAAAGGACATTATGTTGAGCCGAACCTTCAAGAAGGAATGAAATTCCTTAAAAAAGCTTCCGAGTTACATCATACGGAAGCACAATATTGGTACGCATTGGCATTGTTAAATAGTTCTGATGAGTTTGAGGGAGATGGATATGAAGTCGCAATGAAATATTTAAGAATATCCGCATCGTTGAATGAGAGAGCATTGAAGGTTCTGGGAAGAATTGTACAGACTGGAAGTTATGGTCAAAAAGCAAATTACCTTGTAGGAAAAGCGATGATTGATAAAGCTCTTAATATGAGAAATACAAGTATAAATTAGGTATTATTTAGTTTCAGCATTGTAGAAAAGTTGTCATTTTATTGTGAACAATGTGAAATCGAATGTTCTCAATGTTCTTGTGAGATTTATACTAGAGATATTTATCACTGAAAAAACCTAATATGAACTTTCTTATTTATTTTCTTTTATTTATTTAACTCTTTTTTTTTTAAAAAAAAAAAATCATAATTTTGGCATACTGCAATTTGCTTGCATTAACAGTGTAACATTCTTCAATTCTATTGCTCATCAGCAAGTATATTTTTTTTTTATAAAACCTATGTAGTTATATAAAAATTTTATGTAAATTTACAAACCCAATATAAACTTATATATTTACAAATTTTATATATTTTTTAACATAATACTTATATATTATTTATATAGAAATAAAATTTTATTTATATTTATAAAAAATAAAATCAATTGAATTTGGTTATTTCTCAAAAACCGGTAAGATAATCGGTATTCAAAGTACTAAGTAAAAATGTTCAGCATGTCAAAATACCTTACCCAAATCCTCATTAAATTTCAAAATCTAAGCTTTAATATTTAAATTAATTTTTTTTACGTAGTAATCTTACATAATTCTATATATGGGTTGTTGCCCAGCAAAACCATGCTTAGAGTATATAAAAAATATATACTCTAAGCATGGTTTTGCTGGGCAACAACCCATATTGAAATAGATATATCGTATCTGAAGTTGCAATTATGATACGTAGGTGGCAATTTCAATGCAACATATATATATTTATATAAATTTCTATATAAATCTACATTATGTTTGTATAAATTAATATCAGGGTAGAGTTTTATGATACATAACGCGCATTATGGATATACATGACGGAAAAATTCTATTTGGACTGTCATAATCCCCATTTTACAAACCAAATAAGGATTTTTAAATAGTATTTTTACTGTGTTGAATTATAAATCGGAAAAAATAAAGTTTTCCGATTTCAATTTTGAAACCCATTGACAAAATCCCAAATCTGGGGATCGTCTAAAGCCAGGTAGTAATTTATATGCCTCACGTGACTTTTACTTTACAATGTTATTTGAGTGTCGCTAAAAGAACATATACACATTTATATATAGCCTACATATAAATGTGTATGTTTTCTTTTAGCGACACTCATTTATCAACTTAAAACTATATACCTTGCTTTAGACAGTTCCCAAATCCGGTTTTTACATTAAAATTTCTTGTTGATATAAAGTTACAATGAAATTCTTAATATATTTATTTATTTGAATGCGTTCAAGGGAAAACACGTCATCGGACTTACAACTATATTTCGTTCCGACAAATCTGATCAGCGACATATTATACGCTAAACGGATTTTTCAAAGATAAGCCCTGAGGTCCGGAATGAAATATAATTGAAAGCCCGATGATAGGTTTTGCACTCATTTAGTTTGATTAGGGAATGGATCAGTCCTAGAAAGACCGAATAAGGACCGGTCTTTTTAGCCGGTCTCATGATTAACCGGTTCCCGGTCCTGAGTTCAGTTCGGACCGGTCCTCATAATTAGCTAATTAAAAATACTAAAAAATTATTTTAGATAATGCCTTATTTCAATCTCTCCGCTAGCCAATAGAATAGTTAGAGACCGGGACCGCCTTTGGGACCGAGACCGGACCAAAAAAACGTTAATGGAGCGGTCTTATTAGGACTGAGCGGACTGATTCATCCCTAAGTTTGATCAATGATTAATAAAATTTGCTTTATTAACTAATCTAGTTGCAAAAGTACCCTTTTTTTAAATTAATCCGAGTTTTGTAAATATATGTGATTGAAATTCTATATAAGGCCCGAATTAGATTCTATCAACAAGTTAATAAGTGTATAAAAAACATACGTATACACAATTGTTATACACGTGAATGTTGCCAAATGAAAACATGCAAATTTTAAAATAGATTATTATAAAAATTCATAGTCTATTGTTAGAATCGCAAATGTAAAACAGCAAAATTAAGGGAGCTGACACTTATTACGTAAATCTAACCCCCTCAGAGTCAGTCATTTGACACAATTACAAGTTCTAAATAATCAATCTTTTTTGACAATTGTATATTTACGTAATAAGTGTCAGTTCCCTAATCTATTATTTTCAACTCAACCAACTTAATATAAGTTATATATATTGTTGATTATCTCTAATTCGCCTAATAATATAATCCAAGATATATGTTTGTGTTTCAGACTAACGTTTTGCTTCAGATGTCGATTTTTTGGCCAGCATTAACTGATCGACATGATTGGCCTAAATTATACCCAATCCTAACTTAGGCCGATCAACATCCGAGGTAAGTGTTAGTCTGAGGCACGATATATTGGAAAACCCACAGCAAAGGGTTGCTTAAGAAAAAAATATTGTTGGTAGCTCCACAAAAAATTTTCTGAAACGTGACTTTTAGCCAATTAGATTGAAGGATCAGGTGTAATGTAAAAATCAAAACAATTGAACTAAGTAAAAGATTGAAATCAATAAACTACTTCTTTAAGGTTAGGGTTAAGGCCAAGAGAGGCATAAGTTATACCAAAATTTTACAAAAAAATTTTTTTCTTAAAAACAAAAAACAGTTTTATAGACCAAATTTTGAGTTATTAATAATTTTTGAAAAAAAACAAAAGATGTGTAATGTTCACATTACACCTAATTCTTCAATATTATTGACTAAAAATTATCACATTTTAAAAAATTTTTTGTGAATGTAGAGTGTTTGGTATGTCATATATTACATATATTTTTTGTAGACAGTTTTATATATTATTATTTTTTTTTAATCTTAAAAGTAAAGATATACTTTTATCTTTATTAAAATTTATTTAAACTTATTTATATAAAAATAAAAGAAATTATATATAAATTCTATATTTAAAAAATATTAAGACTAGAAACTTAGAGCCTACAAGAAGTTATCTGTGATTTAAACCTAAGTTTTATATATTTTATATACTAATCATAATATAATATATATAATTTCATAAATATATATATTTGTAAAATATATCATAGTTTTATATATATTATTTCGTGAATATGTATATTTGCAAAATTATATATTATATAGACTAATTTAAATAATTTCTAATTAGGGTTTATTTTTTAAAAACTTTAAGATTAAATAATTTTTAATCTACTAGTTATAAATTAATATATAGTCAAGTAAATAATTTATTTGGTATATTATATAATTAGTTAAACTTAAATTTAACCAATTACATAATATATAAGATAAGTCACTTACTTGATTATATAATTCTGTAATTAGATTTAAATAATTTTAAACTTGTTAAAATTATCTTAAAAAGATAAATATTTTAATAATAAAATTATCTAAAATAAACTAATAAATTAAAAGTTATTTAATCTTTTTATTATTTTCAAAAATATTTTATATAATTCTCTTTATAAAAGTTTCTTTATCTTTTTAGTTTTTTCTTTATATTTTCTCTTCTCTATTTTTTTCTTGCCTCTTTTGTATAAATTTGTTCTGTTTTTATTATTTTTATTTGTTTATCTTCAATATTTATACTAATAAAAGTTTTTTTTTACTTGTTTTTTTTTTTGTTATTTTTTTTGAGTCTTTATTTTGTTTTTACTTTTTGAATTTGCCTGTTTAAAATTTCTTCTTGTATTTTTATTATTTTTTTATTTTATTTACTTTTTTTAATTTATTCTTGTTATATACTTGATTGATTTTAGATTTAGTTAACTTATTTTGCATTTTTTTATCTTTTCTTCTAATAGTCTTTTAATTTTAGTATTATATAATATTTTTTATAACTGCTTGAATACTATTAGTTTTATTATCAAAATTTTGTTTTTATTTTCTATTATAAGATTTTTGGCAATATATTTAATATTACTTGGCTTACTAATTGTAATCTTTTTATTATTTTTTTAATTGTTTCTTAAGTATATATTTTATTACTACAATACTTTTCTTTAAATAAAGTCTAAAAGTTTATTTTTGTTATATTTTTATATTTATTATATTCTAGAATATTCTATTATTGCTGTTAAGTAATTTGCTATTTGTTTAGTATTCTGTTTATATTTATATATAGTTATATCTCATAATAGTCACTCTTGATATAATTACAAATTCAATATAGTCACTTTTTTTTACCAGTAGAATTTATATTAATTTAGTCTCTATATAGTCACAAACATGTTATAATTACTATCATATAATCTTTAGATCCTGTTTTATTAAATTTTTCTTGATATAATCACAATATCATATAAACATAATTTTATATTTTATATTATTAAATAAAATTAATGCTTAAATCTGAATCTATTCATTTTGAATTAAATTTATTATAAAAACATCTATCTAGAATTCATAAGATAGATGCAGACTTATTTACATCACTAGTTATAGCTCAATTGCATTTTATTTGATTTTTTATATAGAACGTAACTAGGTGATGCTATAAGTCTGCATCTATAATTCATAAGCAGTATTAAACTTTTCAGTATAACAAATAAAAAAACTGAACTAGAACTTTCACTTTATTGAAGTTGATAGTTTAAATTTTCTAGATCCAAAATTCTATTATTAGAAGTGGGCCTAATCCTGTAAAACCAGAATTCCTAAATAATATAATGCTATATTTCCAATAAAGTTATACTAAAATGCTATATTTCTAATAAAGTTATGCTAAAATATACTATAAATTGCAATACCTATAGATCTCTTACAAAAAATTAATCAAAAATCCCCCACTAATATGATTTACTCCTAATTCTAAAGATTTTATTACATCTGATTTTTTGATTAGTCAGCTAACATCGATAGTTCCTCCTGTTACAAATACCATTTCAAATATAAAATTACTGATCAGTATAATTTACTACCATAAAATGTTTATTCGGCCTTAAACAGCTATTTTGTTAAATTTTCTTTTTATAAGTTCAGAACGAACAAACAAAATAAGCTGTTGGCTATTTTTTTACAAATGAAACTAGTTCAT